ATTCTCTTTCAACTAAAATGCAATTAAATCCTTACTCCCTTTCTCATGTACCAAATAATACATTTCAAAACATTTCAGTTTCTGTTGCATTTCATGTTTTACAACCTTATTTCAGTGAAAGAGAGGAATTTGAGCAGAGGATCCAAAAGGAGTTGGGACAACAAGGGAAGTGAGCGAGTGACTGAGTGAGCGAGTGACTGAGTGAGCGAGCAATAAAGTGCTTTTTCAAAAATACTTTTTGTGTTTTATTTTGAATCCGACAGTGCTTTAGAAATGGACATGGATCATTTAGGGAATACAGATATACATTTTGGCGGGGATACAGAATCTGGTTTTATTTTATCTATTTTTTGTTAAACTTAAGAACAGTTCCAACAAGCTTCATACATGCTGGTTTGAAGTTGTGTGATATTGATATTTTCAGAATTTGTTTTATTTATTATAATGCATAAAAAGCCAGGTGTTCTATAATTATTGTATTATATTAAAAGCTTATGAATTATTGATTTTACTCGTCAAACCTGTTATGTTAACCACGGAGTCTAAGAGCTACTAATTTTAGTTGTATTGCAAAGTAGGTCATCAAATAAGTAAAAGTAATTCTATCTCAAATTAGTTTGATAAAAAAAATTAATAATCTTAATTTTTAAAGAAAGATAAAATAATTTAAATTTCCTATTACAATTAATGAACATTTCACTTACCACAGCCATTTGAGACTTTATTTTGAAAATCAATTCGCCTAAACTTACCACAGCCACTTCCGGCGTGTGTCTACCATTGCCTGAAGCTACCTCCTCAGAGTCTGCAGCTGGATACTATTGAGTTTGTGTGGTGAAAGCACGTTGTTCTCAATGAGCAGCGCCGGGAGCTGTTGTGGCCCCACCCCCAAATGAAGCCGCTGCTGGCTGATCGTGCCAGGTTTACAATGTGGGCTGGATGTAAATGTAAAACTTTTCTTTGTCTGAAATAAAGTTAAAAAACATCAACAAATAAAAATTACAAAAGAAAAAAAGATAAGAAAAAAATCATCCCCCCAAGTAAATCCCATACATTGATGACATTGAGCGACGTTTGGGACAGCGAATAGCAACTTTCCTTACCGATGAGTTGGAAACGCTGCTGGAAGTTGACTGCTGTTCACAGTAGCGAGCAGCTAGCGATTACAGCGGTCTTTGGCTGGTTCAATGCGGCTCCCGGGCTTTCACATGACAAGCGTTGAAAATGCCTCTGTGGTGGCAATGCCATTCAAACATCCGCCCCAAATACACAGAACGTACGTACTACGTCAGCCGATCATCAATCCCGTTACTTGATTGACACAGAGGGCAACCAATCAGATGACTGAATCACCACTCATACTCAAACAACGGCGCTAAACGCTAAGCTAGTCAGCGAATTACCTCTGATGTCAAGGCAGGGGGGCCCAATACGTCGATCGCACTCGACTGGGAGCCAGCGGACTGGTCCCAAGTCGACCGCAAGGGATGGGAGAAGGAAATGGGGGGGAGTAGACGCGTGCTTGCGCGTGCGTGCGCGTGCTTGCGCGTGCGTGCGCGTGCGCGTGCGTGCGCGTGCGTGCGCGAGGACGGGCTGCCCATGTGAATGTGGCTCTTTGCAGTATCTTCGCAAAAGCAATGACGTTACACACAAGGTAAGAGTAAACCATCTAATTCTCTTTCAACTAAAATGCAATTAAATCCTTACTCCCTTTCTCATGTACCAAATAATACATTTCAAAACATTTCAGTTTCTGTTGCATTTCATGTTTTACAACCTTATTTCAGTGAAAGAGAGGAATTTGAGCAGAGGATCCAAAAGGAGTTGGGACAACAAGGGAAGTGAGCGAGGGACTGAGTGAGCAAGTGACTGAGTGAGCGAGTGAGTGAGTGAGCAATAAAGTGCTTTTTCAAAAATACTTTTTGTGTTTTATTTTTGAATGCGACAGTGCTTTAGAAATGGACATGGATGATTTAGGGAATACAGATATACATTTTGGCGGGGATACAGAATCTGGTTTTATTTTATCTATTTTTTGTTAAACTTAAGAACAGTTCCAACAAGCTTCATACATGCTGGTTTGAAGGTGTGTGATATTGATATTTTCAGAATTTGTTTTATTTATTATAATGCATAAAAAGCCATGTGTTCTATAATTATTGTATTATATTAAAACCTTATGAATTATTGATTTTACTCATCAAACCTGTTATGTTAACCACGGAGTCTAAGAGCTACTAATTTTAGTTGTATTGCAAAGTAGGTCATCAAATAAGTAAAAGTAATTCTATCTCAAATTAGTTTGATAAAAAAAATAATAATAATCTTAACTTAATTTTTAAAGAAAGATTATTATTCAAATAAAATAATTTATATTCCCCATTACAATTAATGAACATTTCACTTTCGTTTTCCGGGACTTGAAAATCAAATTTGCCGAAACTTACCACAGCCACTTTGGGACTTTATTTTGAAAATCAAATTTCCCTAAATTTACCACAGCCACTTCCGTCGTTTGTCTACCATTGCCTGAAGCTACCTGCTCAGAGGCGG